AAGAGCCGCCCTGGGAAGCGGCCTGTTGGGCTCGCCCCGGAGCGCCTGCGGGCTTGGAAATTCCCCGGGAGGGAAACGGGGAAACGGCCCTGCCGGGAGCCGGGATTTCCCGAGCGGCCGCAGCGGCGAGGCCTGCGATCCCGTCCGGTGCCTCCCGCTCCCGTTGGCCGCGGGGACGTGGATGTGCAGCCCGGTGCCGAACGGAGCCTCGTCTGGGTGGGACGTCAGCTTGTCGGCACCGGGACGTTGGGTCTCGTTGGGTCTTGTTGGGTCTCTTTGCAATGGGCTGGTGCTCGCAAGGGTGACGTGCTGGGGCGGGAGGCCCTCGAGCGTGGCAGCCCAACGTGACTGCGCGCAAGGTGCAGAGCGCCAAGCTGCGATCCCTATAGCCAAGCTGCGATCCCTATAGCCAAGCTGCCCTCCCTATAGCCAAGCTGCAATCCCTATAGCCAAGCTGCCGTCCCTATAGCCAAGCTGCCCTCCCTATAGCCAAGCTGCCATCCCTATAGCCAAGCTGCAGTCCCTATAGCCAAGCTGCCCTCCCTATAGCCAAGCTGCCATCCCTATAGCCAAGCTGCCATCCCTATAGCCAAACTGCAATCCCTATAGCCAAGCTGCAGTCCCTATAGCCAAGCTGCCCTCCCTATAGCCAAGCTATAGCCATACTACAATCCCTATAGCCAAGCTGCAATTCCTATAGCCAAGCTGCCATCCCTATAGTCAAACCGCAATCCCTATAGCCAAGCTGCCGTCTCTATAGCCACGCTGCAATCCCTATAGCCAAACTGCCATCCCTATAGCCAAGCTGCCGTCCGTATAGCCAAGCTGCCATCCCTATAGCCAAGCTGCAAACCCTGTAGTGAAATGGCATGCCCTATAGCGAAGCTGCAATCCCTATACCCAAGCTGCAATCCCTATAGCTAAGCTGCCAAGCTGCCGTCCCTATTGCCAAACTGCAGTCCCTATAGCCAAGCTGCCATCGCTATAGCCAAGCTGCCATCCCTGTAGTGAAGTGTTATTCCCTACAGCGAAGCTGCAATCCCTATGGCCGAGCTGCAGTCCCTATAGCAGAGCTGCAGTCCCTATAGTGAAGTAGCATTCCCATAGCCAGGCTGCAGTCCCTGTAGCGGCTCTGTGACACGTTGCTGGTGGCAGAGCTGGCAGTGCTCAGAGCTGCCGTCGTCTTGGCGCGCTCGGGTGAGCTATGAGGGTCTGTGAGCAAGGCCGGGCGCCCATCCCCTTTCCCGGCACTTGCAGCAGGAAAGATGCAATGGGGAGGATGCAGTGGGGCAGTTGCAGTGGAGTGGTTGCAGTAGGAAGGATGCAGTGGGGTGGTTGCAGCAGGGCAGTTGCAACATGGTAGATGCGGTGGGGTAGTTTTAGCAGGGCGGTTGCAGTGGGATGGATGCAGTGGGGCGGTTGCAGTGGGGCAGTTGCATCCAGGTGGCTGCAGCGCGGTGGCCGCAGTGTTAAACATCCTCAGCGGCGGCTCCGGTGCCGCCCGCACGTGTGGCCGCATCCCACGTCGGAGCGCGCCGTGCTGGCAGGAGAAACAGCTCCCCTGAAATGGC